AATAAAATACAACTTTTAAAAGTTTGTCATAAAAGTCCAAACATAAAAATGTTGGAATTACCTTTGCCTAACTGATCTGCTCAAGTTGCCAAGTATACTGGTAATATGGATTGTCTTGCTGTGCTTTTTGGGATGTATTTGTTGTAAATCCAATTAAGTTTCAAAAAAGACTAAGCACTTAAGTTTTGCCCTTCCAGGAGTGCCACACATCAGTGTTCAAGTCACTCTTGGCACTCTTTGGACTGCCATGTGAACATGAAGTGCCCTAAACTTGAATTTGTGTTAGTCACATACACGACCTTTAACCTCCTGTCTCACAGGCAAATTAATTGGCAGTTGTCCCAGAGCTATTAATACAGAATTATTTCCTCCTACCTGTCAAGTTGCCTAGAAAGCAGACTAGTCACTAGCTGGGCAGGACTTAGAGTCCTCTTATCAGCAGGTTCCTGCAGATCTTCTGACTCAGGTTCTACCAAATTCCTGCTTTGCTTGTCCTTGGTTCACCAGGCAGTAGAGCCTGCTGCTCAGTTCTCCTCTGGTCTGGCTGCATCAGTAGTGATAGAAGACTAGTAGAGCTTATTTTGAACCCTGTTTAAAAAGAAAAAAATGTTAGAAATTGCAAAGCTTTGCCTTGGCCTGGGCATACATTTATTTTTTTTTTAAATGCCAATACCTGAATGGACATCAGGGTGTTAGATGCTTGTAGAAACAGGTAGATGGAATGATGGGATGACAGGTGTACCTGCTGGGATGGGACCTGTGGACCAAACACCACCCTTAAGTCCCATGACTCAGTTGTTGCCACTAGTGTAACAGCCAGATACTGCCATAGATGCCCTCCCCCCTTCTAGTGTAACTAAGAATAGGACAACCACACGAAATACAAAGATTAGAAAGCTACAGCAAGATTGTCCTTCTTGCCTGTCCTCTTGTGACAGTATTCAGTGAAGGCTACAGGAGACAGGCAGCAGCTACCACATGGACAGTAAATAGGACACAGAATCATACATATTATATGTGATTCCCCCACCACCACCCACTGGTTATGTCACAAGTGGAAATGAAAGACAAAGGACAACACATGGATTTCTACACAGGCTCAAGGTTTATGAGTCTGTGCAGTAAATCTTGTGTATATATGAGATAATACGCTGATAACAGTGCAGTGAGGAAGACAGGAACGGGTAGATGGAGGAAGGAAGGTGGCCATAAAACTCTTGGCTTACCTTCAGACCATGCTTTTCCACTCCAAGTGGTTTTAACTTTTTCCTTCAGGAATGCTGCCCAGTCACCTCTCTGAGAGGAAGGGTTTGACAGCCAAGGGCCAGACTGACACGGTGGCCCCTTGGCTGCTTGCACTCCACCTTTTGCCCTTTCCTAGGCACAGCACTGCCTGGTCCACTGAGAGTGGGAGCTCAGTGAGTGGGAGCTCCTGTTGGTCCCTTTCTGCAGGTGGTCCAGGTGGGGTGTTCCCCTCTCCTCCCTGGCCTCCTGGCACTGGAGAAACTGGCAGTCCTGTGTCATGGACAAGGGATGTCCTGCAGAAAGGAGATGCAAAAACCAAGAAGGGTTTGAGCAGCAACACAATGGCTGCTGCCTTAAGCAGCCAGTTGCTGCCCTTCCATTCCTCACAAGCAGTTATTTTTGTTGCCCCCCCC